GAATTAGTAATGCATTTGCAAAATGGCAGTGATGAAAATGAGAAATGACAAAGAATGGAGACCCTCTGTATAATTTGTGGTCTTTGAACAAAGAGCACAACAGATATTGTTTTAATGGTTTTATCTAGAAATATATTTTTAGTGAAAAGCAAGGAGCGAGCACTAGTAGCCCTATAGCTAATGCCTTTGTTGTTTACATTTGACAGCTCAATTTGGTGATTCTAAGGGAGAGTGATCCAGTAAAGAGATTACTGTATCTTCAGTTTTGTAATTATCCAAAATCCATGAAATTTGTATTAAACACCAGTAATCATGGTGCATCAAGAAGGCACTAATTTTCTCATCTTACATTTTTTGGCTGTAATCAAAAATAAATTGATAGGAAAATATAAGGTGTTAAAAAAGAAGAAAAAAAGAAAAAAAAAGTGTTAGTTGCTCAGAAAAGCAATATTGTTAAAAGGAATTATTTAGCTGAACTATAATTCATCCTGTATCTCTACTGGAAAGGATTCTTGCACTTAAATTTTTAAAGATATTTAATACTGCAAACTGGTATTAGATGTATCTTGACTCTTAATGGTGTCTCACTATAAAAATATCACTATAAATGATATTGTTATTGCAGAGGAGGAGGAGGAACAAGGGGAAGGGGAAGAAGAAGAACAAGATCAAGGTGATTCAAATGAAGAAGAACAAGATGAAGAGTGGGGTGGAGGAAAGCGGAAAAGAAAGAAAAGCAAAAAGAGAAAGTCCTCCCGCGGTGACCGTGGGCGGAAGAAACGAAAGAAGAAAGACGAGAGTGAGAGTGTAAGTATTGCTGTTTGATTTCACTTCCTGGCTTGACAGAATTATAAAATTCTGTGATGAAAATATTACCAGGATGGAGTTCTAAGTAATTGGAGACATTTCCTGGTCATTAGATGTTGAAGGTCATTTTATTTACATTAATGATGTAATAATATATTGGTAATAATTAATTTCTTGAGCAGAGTTGGCAAATCTAATGAAACTTACCCAAGACACTTATGAATATTCATAATTATAAATAGGAAGGTGAATATGAAGAAGAGGGTGGCCGTGTTGACTCGGACAATCAGGAAGAGACCCCAAAAGGAAGGGGTCGTGGAAAGGGACGTGGGAGGCCTCCTGCAACTCCCACAGCAACTGTACCAGAATCAAGTGAGTAATACAGGTTATTAGAACTACTCTTTATCAGCATTACAGCTTGAAGCATTAAACAAATATTGCATTTGACATTACATAAGGAAAGATTTCACCTCAGTAGAGTTTTGAGTTATCCTGTCAGATGATTTCACAGGTGGAGGAGATCAGATGCCAACTGTTGCTGAGGTGTGTGAGAGCTTTGGGCTAAATGATGTCGAACTCGAGTACACTGACTCAGATTTTCAGAACCTTACAACTTACAAGTTGTTCCAGCAACATGTGCGTCCACTTCTTGCTAAGGAAAATCCAAGGGTAAGGTATCTGCCATTTGTTTGCTATATTTTTTATTAACCCTCTCATGGGGAACATGCATTTTACTTCAGTTTTTCATTTAATGATTTTTGTTTTCAACAGTATTAAACTTTTTGTGATGAAAAGGTTAAGATACTCTTAAAAGAAATTATAAGATTATCTTTGTAATAGAAATCTTGTCTATCCGTCAATCTAAAAGGTACCAGTGTCTAAGTTGATGATGTTGGTAGCTGCAAAGTGGCGTGAATTCACAGCTCGCAATCAGCAGCAGGAAGAGGAGGAGGAAGATGAAATTGTAGAAGAGGAGGAAGAAGAGGAACCAGAACCAGCACCGGTACAAGTAAGATATTTTGTTGTAGATTAGGACTTAGCATTATTTGCATGGAAATCAGAAACACTTTCATATTTGTCTATTAATTCACAGGAACTGATAAGATGTCAGAGACTTCATGGGGGGAGAGGGTAGAGAGTGAGAATTTTTTTCATTGTTTTACCTATTCTAATTAATCACAATGTATATCAGCAGATAACACCCAAGGGTCGGGGACGCCCTAGAAAAGCCAAGGTCGATGAAGAAGTAGAGGAAGACTTTGATGATGACAGTGAGGGTGTTGGTAAGAAGAAACGTGGCCGAAAACGCACTGCTACTGCAGAGGGAAAAAGCAAAAAGGGTGGAAAAGTTCCAACTTTGAAGATTAAGTTAGGGAAGAGGAAGAAGGACACCTCGGTGAGTCTGGTGAGATGGTCTATTTTGGTTAATAATTGTAGTTTTGAAGAAACTCTTGTGCCAGTAACTTGACTTAATTTTTCAAGTTCTAATTGTTTTGAAAATAGAGCAAAGTGATATCAACCTAAATGTCCTGCTATCATCGTTTTGAGGATATTTGGGATGATCTTTACATATAATTTCTTGATCTGTGTACGTTTTGTTATTGGATTCAGTTATGGACACAGTAGATTATTGTTTACTAGCCACAAGTGTATCTTCTTTTCTATATTATTTAGAGTTAAGTTTGCATGTTCC